CCTCATTGACTCAGCACACTCAAGGTGATACTCTGGCCTCCCCGAGGTCATCTCTGCCACATCAATGCTTACCATACTTGGAATTTTCTCTCTGTTCCATCCATTCAGTGACAACCTCTGGACTTCCACTCTTTTCTTTAGATAATAATCCAAAGCCCAACTCAAGTTACTTCCACACATAAACTGGACTCATAAACTCCCACTCATGTCCTGACTATTAGCTGTATCACACATATTTGATTACTTGAAATAATTATATTTAATTTCTCAGTTTGTTATTTGTTATTTGAATTGCTCATAGATTGTTTCAGGTGTGTTTATTGTTTCATAATAAACTCCTTGAGGATACAAATCATGTATATTATAGTATTTTTGTTTTGCCAAGAGCAATATTCAAATAAAACATAATATAAAAATAGAAAGACTAAGGAAACACACCAGACTCAGTACCTTTTTTTTTTCATTACATATATTTATATCTTTTAATGCAATTCTCCTGCCTTATTGTCTAGTTTCTAATGAATCTGGTAGTGGCCATTACTCTCTGTCTAAGAAGAAAACGGATCAAATTGGCACACCGCAGGAGGAGTCTTTGTGACACCCCGTGAGATTTCTCCCTATATGCTGTCTTTGCTCCAGATTGTACAGAAAAAGAGAGAACAAAAAAATGAGAGCAAAAATGGCTGAAATTTAGGATCTTTAAGATATCAGGGAGACTAATTTGAGGGAATAAAGCAGGGCGAAGACATGCTTGCATTTCTGAAAACCATTTTCTGCAAGTTCCTCAAATGCTGGATATACTGACTTGGCAAATGGAGCCAGTGATTTGGCTTGTCTTGTTTTGGATTTCTGTACTATGAAGAAATTATGACTAGAGTGAAGGCCTACAAACAGCAAAATACAACCAATATATGTTTCTTATTAATTGAAAACCCCTCAATGAATGCAATGTGTTTGTCCTATTCATGATATTGAAATGGATAAAAGTGTCATGATGTTCTGTCTCACCGAATGGAAAGCCTTTTATTCTTTTCATCAGAGCAACACCTCTCCAAATTACCTTACAAGCCATAAAATTATCTCTTACAGCATGATTTGCCACGTTTTAGGTTACTGGTCAAAATCTCCTTTGAATTAGTGGTCATATATATGAACCCGAAGTATCTATAATTAGGATCTCTGTGGTAAGACTAACCCATTGAATTTTCTTGTTTATGCAGCTCATAAGTGGAGGAATTTAAGGAAACTAGTAAATATTGCCTCAATATCCTTTTTGCTCGATTTCTGCGTAGAAATTACAGAGACGTGCCATATTTAAGGACATTCAGCAAGACATTTTAAATCTGTAAATAAGATTCCAGCTTAATTCCAAACACTGTTTTGCACCTCAATAAGGAGAACCATAGAATATAGCTGGCTGGCTGCCAAAAATGAAGAAATAGGATAGAAAGTCTTTCTTATATCCAAGTTAGTCAAATGAGAAAATTAAAATGAATGTTCCTTATGATGTTGAGAAACCTCCATCATCCTTAGGCCAACTCAAATCATTCTAGTTTTCAAGTTACTATTTCTAATTCAAATAAATAACTGTGAAATGGCTTAAACTGTTTGTCCAAATGCTTTCTGGTGGTGGGGACAGGGTCATGCTAATGAGTTTCCTAGGCTCTCCACAACTTAGAAGCAGATCGAAAGTGTTCACTTCCCTTGCAATTTTTTCTTTCCCAATAGCAACACGCTAAAACCCAAGCATTTATGTTATATTATAATTTTTAAAAATTGCTGATCTGAAAAACGTTTCTCTAATTAGTGTCTTTGCAAAATTGAACACAGACAGATTGTAATCCTTCATTTACTGATTTTATGTTAATGCTATTACTCAGCATATGTTGGCTACGTTAAGCCATTACAGTAAAAATTAAAATGAAAGTCATATGATTTATCCCCCTTTAAAAGTGCTCAATCGGTCTAATAAAAGTCAAGTACCAAATACCAGATGTCTGATTTAAAAGAAATTCTAACAAAAAGGAAAAACCCTCCCATTATTCTCTTAAGATATTTTGTTGAGATTAATGCCATCCAAGGTAAAACATTTACATATAAATACAGTTGTATGGATATATTTGACTTCAGTTAGAAGATTAAGATAGGAAAAATAAAAATATATTAATATTGGTCTTGATTGTTTTAAATCTCCATCTTGACAAATAAACCTGCACCGCTTCTGTACACAATCATAAAGCTATCTTGGTATTTTAAAAGAAAATGACGATAGTTGCAAATTTTTATACTGCAGAAATTCAGGGGACGTCTGGCTGGCTCAGTTGGTCGAGCTTCCGACTCTTGATGTCAGAGTTGTGAGTTCCGGACCCACGTTGGGTGTAGAGATCACTTAAATGAATAAGAACTTTTAGAATGCAAGAGGTCAGGGGCACCTGGGCGGCTCATTCTGTTAAGCATCTGACTGTGGATTTTGGCTCAGGTCACCATCTCACGGTTGGTGGGATCCAGTCCCGCATTGGTCTCTGCACCGACAGCACAGACCCTACTTGTGATTCTCTCCCTCCCTCTCTCTCTCTGCCCCTCCCCCCACTCGCGCTCACACTCTCTCTTTCTCAAAAGTAGAATGAAGATGGGAAGAATGGGAATACAAGATATAATCAAGGTAGATATTTATAATCAAGTTTTGTTCATTATTTTTCCTTCAAACTTTCTTTCCTCCTTGCTATTTAATTCTCAGTATAATTTCTAGCCAAAATCCATTGTCCGGGAAAATAAATTCTTAGTTCTACAGAAAGATGTTTTCAAAAGAAAGAGCCAAATAAAGACATCTACCTTTTTTGGGTTTTGTTACATTTGAACTCAGCTACTCCATATCTACCACTCCCCCAACACTTATTTCCCTCAACTCCATATCTTTGCCCTATCCTTTTTTCTTTTTTTTTTTCCTAAAAACAACTCTTTTCTTCAACAGTTGAGACGCACTCCTCAAAGATGATCTCGCATAGCAATCCTTTAATGCTTTTTTTTTTTTTCCTCTGATTTTTCCTCCCTCCCACTGCCCTGACTGTAATTCTGTTCTGGTCATCACCAGCTCTAAGTTCCAAAAATGTATCTGCCTTTCCTCCTGAACATAGCAAGATGACATCCCCCAGCCTCCTTTTCAGTAAGCTATAGCCATGTGATGGTAGACTGGCCAATGGGCTGTCAGCAGAGGTCCTAACACCCTGCCGTGTGAGCCATTACTGTCTCTTCTGCTGGTTGGATTTGACTTGCAGAATTCAGATTATGGAAGAAGCCACATGCTGGAGGTGGCACAGCTGGAGTTCCTAAAGACTGTGCAATACAGTCTGCTCTCCTTCTGTTGAGTCTGCCACCCTCTGTTGCCGATTGAATTTCTGTGTTTATCTACTGAGATTTCTGGGCAACTGATATTAACTTAACTAACACAATGATAATTACGACCTATCCATTGACTGAATATCCATAACACTTGGTGTTGTTCTTGTCACTGTCTACATTCTCCTTATATATCAATGATACTTCTTCTTGCCCCTTTCTTCTCAAGGTCAGGAGCTACCTTCTTTTTCAGCTTTTATTCCTTGCATTAGTAAGCACAGCCTCTCGTACAAAGTAGCTCCTTAGTGAATTGTCCTGTATCCATCAATCTCTGTTAATTAGATGACTACCCCAAACTCACGGAGTCTCTTGGTTCACTCATTTTTTAATTCATTTATGTGTCCTAAGTATTTATTTTATCCTTACCGCATGTCAGGGCAATAGACATCTTTGGGGTATCTGCCCAGCTTAAACTGATTCTCCTTTTTGGAGACCTTAGGAAGGTCCATCAGGGGTAGATCTCCAACAGCCATAGTTACCCCCCATGAGCTTGTAGCTGACTTGGCCAGAGTTGATCCTGTCGCTCAAGCTGGGCCAAATAGATTCTGTCCCCAAGAAGGTTGTTAGAAAGTACCACGTTAATCTTTTATCGTGGCTACAATTGTCTCATATATACTGGGAGGAGAAGGCAGGTATATAATACCATAACGGCCTGAGAAGCCCAAAACGCTAGTCTATGGAGCAAAGAAGAAAAATAAAATAAGCACCAAGAAAGAAGCCTTGAGCCCTATAGGCTCTCTCGGGCTTGTTTGCCATTTTTTCCTCAGGCCAGGCTAAATTCAACCACTGCTCTCTATAGCCTTATACCTTGCCTGTTTTGTAGAAGTTCTCTCAAAAATGATTCCTGGTACTTACAATTAGTGTAGCTTCAATTAATAAAACAAAACCTGTTGCTTCCCCCCAGGGATAAAATGGTGAACAAGAGATACATAGATCTTACCCTTCTGGTAAGGTCAGTGGGTGGTAATTCAGTAATATATTGCTAGAGGGAAGAAAGGAACTTATCTTGGTGATGCTCTTGGATGCTGATTTTTCTCCTCCAGATGAATGAAATGTGGAGGTGATTTTCTTTTATATTACACATTGAACAAGAGTTTTTTTTTTATTCCCCAGGGGAATATCCCTTTCTCCTATCCTGATTTCTTCCTCTTGTCATTTTGCCATTTGACAGTGCTACACAAATCGTCAAGTCAACCATCAGCAAAAGAAGCTAAATACATCAATGTTGGAGAGAGAGAATGGTGGGAAGCTTTGGATGGAGATGATGGTGTTGACGAAGAGACAAGGTGGAAATAAGACGTTAGTGAGATGAAGGAGGCAGGCTGTGGGGACTAATTACACACATGTACAGCAGGGGGAAGGGTAAAGATGGCTGAGTTTTCAGTACAAGTCGCTAGGAAACTCCGTAAGACCAAGATGCTGGTGTAAGGGAAAGGCGATACAAAAACAAACAAACAAAAAACCACCTCATCCCTCCCCAGTGATTTCCATGTTTTGATGAGGTTGAAACAAACTTTTACATGTCTGGACCTTCCATAAATGTGTGTTTGCTTGTGTCTAAAAGATGATTCCGTTGAAAATAATAAAACATGGTACTAAAAACTGGAAAGCTGTGACATTTAGTATAAGGAGTTGTAAATTAAGGCAGAGGATGAGGGAAGGAATGACAAAGAGATGACGGAAAAGCATCCATAAAGTAAGACACACGGTTGAAAGATAAACTTCAAAAGGATGGAGTCTGTAAGTCCTGCTCTTGACGTTTCTTTCCTTTACCTCACATGCTGAAGCTCCTGATGACTCAGAAAATTCCGGAGGTGGCGAGGCTGACGACCCTGGGAAGTAGTTGAAAATTCACTTCAGTCCCTTCTTTCTGCTCAATCCTCAGCCTTTCCAGTGCCTCTCAGAGCATGTCAGGCTTGCCAGTTCCTTTCACTTAAACAGATAGCTGCTCCTCAGGACTCGGACTTCCACTTGGCAATGTTCTCTGGGATGGGAAATAAGAAGATCGTAAGCTAGGTAATAGCCAAAATATTGTTAATAGATAATTCGCTATTACATGATTACCTCTTACTAGACATTGGATGAATACGTGGCCACTTAAGAATCAACTAGAACTTTGTTTCTCTTCTTCTCTCCAAAAGGCAAAAAAAGAGAAGAGACTTTGTCCACCATTTATTGCACTGAGCATAAACAGGAACTGAAACCAAACCTAGTTTCTCCTCCCATACAGACTAGACGAAACAGACATGTATCAGAGGAGCAGAAACCATGTAGTGAAAAAAGTGGAAAGTAATAGGTTTGATTTTGATGTGAAGTATTTTACAGATACCCCAAGTCAAAATTAATAGCAGTTAAAATGACAGATGTCCTCCAAGAATGGATGAGTGTGTGTGTGTGTGCATGTGTGTGTGTCTGTCTGTCTGTCTGTCTGTAAGGACAGGAACAGATTCCTTTTCAAAGGAGTGGCAGAAAAAAAAACATATCATGCCACCTAGTGGCAGAAAATAAGCCGATTCCTTTTAATGGCACAAAGCCACTGTCTTTTCATCAGAAAAAGCAAATTAATTCACTAGTATAGTGGACCCTTGATTTTGCAAATTACACAGTAGATAAAATTTAAATATCATGTCTGTGCTTTAGTTTTTCAGCCACCAATGGCATTTAAAAAATTGGTGAAGTTTTGAGAGTCCTGGAGTCAGAGTTAGGATAACTCTCATGTCTCTTTCTAACCAGATCACTTAACCATCCTGGAGATCATTTCTGCCACCAGAAGGGCAGGATAGATGAACCTAACCTGTTATCGTGCTCTTAAATTCCACGTTTCAAAGTAAGCAACAGGCCATATAATAAGGGTACTCTTATCTAATGCAGTTTCTTGTGACGAAGTCAAGCCACCATATTTACTGACCAAATACTTAATTACATCATTTACTTTCCACACCCTCAACCCCATCCCAGTTACATTTTACAGACTCTACTCTTCATCCCAAGCCCTCATTTATTGATACTTCTCACTATCAGCTACCTGTTGCCTATAGCCCCTTGATTACAATTTTTAATTTCTGTGAATATCAGTGGTGCATATTTCTAACTTACATAAATGTCCACATATTTCCCTTTTCCCTTGGAAATAAGATAAACTATTCCTCAAAGAGGAAATAAAGTGGAGTTATTATAAAGTATATTATAAAGTATAATTTCCCCTTCTCCCAGCTCTCTCTTACAATACACACCCAAGGGTGACCCTGCTAATCGGAATTAGGAAAGGCATTCTAAACCAGCACTTAATCTGAGCTCTTTGGAATATTTCATCTCCTAATAAACAGTCTGTTCTTGGAGCCAAGAAACAAGCATGTTAAAAAAATTTTTTTGATTCCAAAAAAAAGAAAAATTTCTTAAGATCTAATATGTTAGATCTAATATGTAAGATCTAATATGTTAATTATTCCAAAGCGACGGGACATTTCTCCAAAGCAACTGTTTAAAAAGCGTCCGAGTCATCTGCAGAAAGTCTTTTCATTTGGGAATCTGACTTTCTCTACATCAGAGCCTTGCCTCTCGCCCCAGCCCCAACCAACAGCAGGAATAGTAAAGAACGTTCTAAAGAGCCAAAGTGGCTGATGCAAGAACATAGTTACAGGATCTAAAACGGCGGTCTTTGGATTATACTTCAGCCTTACTGTGTCGTCTATTGCCAACACAGGGTGTCACAGGTGAAATTATGCAGGGAGGGTAATCAGTATTTCTTCTCTAAACTGGCGAATAGCGAATAAATGGGACAAACAGAGGAAGGGGACAGTGTCTACGTTGGTCCTCAAAGTACACAGAGGGACTGGCAAAGAGAGTCATGTTGAATGGTGCTCACACCATCCTGATGCAAACCCATAAGATAGAAATAATTTTCTCAAACATGCCTCTCGCTGTATCTATTTGTTCAGCTCCCTTCCTTAACTTGCCCCGACGTTTTTCAAACCTCCAACCGCCTCCTCAGACATGCACACAAATGCACTTCACTTTTCCCCCTAACACTTTGTATCTCTATTTAAACCTTCAGCCCCGGGGCGCCTGGGTGGCGCAGTCGGTTAAGCGTCCGACTTCAGCCAGGTCACGATCTCGCGGTCCGGGAGTTCGAGCCCCGCGTCAGGCTCTGGGCTGATGGCTCAGAGCCTGGAGCCTGTTTCACATTCTGTGTGTCCCTCTCTCTCTGCCCCTCCCCGGTTCATGCTCTGTCTCTCTCTGTCCCAAAAATAAATAAACGTTGAAAAAAAAAATTAAAAAAAAAATAAATAAAATAAAAAAAAATAAACCTTCAGCCCCTTATAGTATATGTTTACTTGTTAGTCTATCTCCCTAGATTGTTATTTATAGGAGGCAGGGACCTTATCTTTGTTAAACTTAAGACCTACTACTCTGGTATATAACAGGCATTTTAAAAACTTTTATTGAATTGAATCGACTGTTAATTTATTATTTTCTTTTTGAGAGAAAGAGCCCATGCACATGCAAGGTAGGGGCAGAGAGAGAGGGAGAGGGACAGAGAACACCAAGCGGGCTCCACGCTGTCAGGGATTCGATCTCACAAACCATGAGATCATGACCTGGGTGGAAATCAGGAGTCAGGTGCTTAACCCACTGGCGCCCCTAGCCTGTGTTAATGTAAACAGTTTGTTATTAATACTGGGGTCAGATGATTCTGTCTTACTCCCTGTTTTTCATTGCTAAGGGGCTGTTTATGCCCAATAACAGGGTTTCATAAATAAAATACCCTTCTATTCCATTTGGAACTATTAGAAAATACTGCTTGCTTTGCTACTATTTTCAGAGTATAGTTGTCAAAGTTCTCTACTGACTTAAACATTTCCATTAACTGGGACCAACTAGGAAGCCTCTTCAGTGAGGTCAGAGGCAAAAATCAGAGGTATTTCTTCCCTCCATTTTCAGAATGTTATAGGGTAGGGCAAAGTTTTCATTTTTCTTCAAACACTTCATTTCTTTCTCTCCTTGTCCAGAGTAAGATCTTTGAGCATTACACTTGAGACATGGTAAAATGTAGCCTGAGAAATATGTTGTTTGATTGTTGATGATGTTTGCTATACAAATAGTTCACTCTTGAAAAATCTCAAAGAACAACCGAAGTTTTTTTTCCCTAGAAAGGATCTATCAGTTCCCATAAATAGAGCCAAGAATAAAAGTCTCTGATGCTTTGACCTTGGCATGCTACTGAACAGAAGCTAGGAACTTGGAGCAAGGGACGGGGGAAGGGCAGATGGGCAGAAAAGACAGGAGAGATGCCTCCATAGACTTTGACTTGACGCTAGCTCTGTGTGAATTAAAAGGTGACGCAGTGGAGAAATTCTTGGCAGCATTTTCCAGATTTCACACATCTTTATAAAAGGCTAACATTAACGTTATTTTCCAGTGAAATCATCTTTCTGGGACTGGTGTATACACATCCTTCCATATATTGGAGAAAGCCATCAGGTGGCCACATTCACAATGTTCTTGGGTTTCTAGATATGAATGAAGAAACAGTAACCACTATGTGCTTATTAAGGCATACCCAAGTTTATATCAAAGGTGGGCTATTGGTACTATCTAACTAATAGCTCGTACATATGATACTAGTTTTCACTCATGCATTGCATTGTAAAGACTCCTCTACTGGATTGCCCCTACCTTGAGGGCAATGCTATTTGTTATTTTCTCTTATCTTATCCCTCCCGTGGTGGCTCACAAATAGTAATTACACCCTCGAACAAATTCTACGTTTGAGAAAATCTTGAGTTTATTATGCACGAAACGCTGCTAACACTAAAAGGAGCTAACGCAGGAGAAAAAGTAGACGTGATTTGAAAAGGGGAAGTAATTACACAAGGAGTAAAGAATTTTTGTGCCTAGCTTCTGTTTAGTAGCAAGCCAAGATCAAGGCATCGGAGACTTTTATGCTTGGCTCCGTGTATGGGAATTGATAGATCCTCTCTAGGAAATAGCTTAGGTGGTTCTTTGAGATTTTTCCGGAGTAAACTATTTGTACAGCAAATATGGTTTTAAATCATTATAATAGTCGCTCTTTACTGAGCTTCGAAACCAGATTTTTTTTCATGTATCATCTAATTTCATGCTTACAAACACCCTCCAAGGTGGGATATTACTAGCCCCATTTTTCAGATGAAAAAATACAAGATCAAAGAGATTGACTTGCTCAAGGTGACATTACAAGTCAGTGGTAGATCAAGTAGTCAGACCTAGATCTGTCAGACCCCATATTCCTGGTTTCAACTTCTATCCCAGAAAGCACTTTTCAAGTTTCACCAGAAGTTCTTGATCTTGTTTGTTGATGGAAAAGCAGTTGTAGTTTTGCTCAAGATAACCTTAAGAAACGTTACAAGAGAGCTCAGTATTCTAGATAATGTAAAGAAAGCTATGACAAGGTTCCTACAAAATGTTTTGAAGTCAAGGTTATATTTTGCCATCTCTTTCACTTAAGGATCGGGATTCTTTCTCTCTGTGGATCCAAATAGTCAATGGCTCACTGCCGAGCTCAACCCGGATGTCTCACAAACCTCGAACTCAATTGGTCCAAAACAAAGCACTGATTTTCCCCATCCCAGTCAAATGTCTTCTTCCTCCCCTCCTTGGTCTCCACTGTGGTTGAAGTAACCAATTGTGCAATCTTCCATGTCAGAAGCTTGAGAAACCTTTTCAACTTCTCTTCATTGTGTTGAACACCTCACAAATCTGATTTTTTTTTTTTCCCTTTTCTTTCTCTGGCCCCTCCTCAGCTCCATTTTCTGCTTCTCCTGTAATTATCTTTTCCACGTTAGGTTCCTTGGTTTTCAGGTCCTCTGCTCTCCTACCCATCCTTTATGTACTCTTCTCATGCGATTCCATTGATGCTAAATGCCTTACATACCATCTTAAGATGCTAATAAATTCTAAATCTATGTCCCCTGCCCAGAACACAGACACATTCCGTCTGTCATTGTCCCTGATAGACAACAGAGCTGTAACAAACTCTAAAACAGAGTTTTATCTTCTACTCCAGTTTTTAAATGTTTACATGGCACTGCCATTCACAAAGTTGATCCAGCCAGGGATGTGGCCGGATATCATTTTTAACTCTTCTTTTGGCTCCTCCCATCCCACCTAAACATCAGACCACTCACAAGACCTGTTTGCTCCATGTCCTAACCACTGCCTAAGTCCTT